CGAGAGTAACAGTATAAGCAATGTATGTTTCCAAATATAAATTGAATCTAAACAAAGGTTGATATTAAAATAAATATATAATAACAAATTCGTTACAGTAGCCTTTACTGTACTAATAACTTGGCATCAGTAACTTATCACTGTCAAACTTGTGGCTAGTATTTTCTCAACATCTCTGTTGTAGCTTTATGTTTGATAACTCTTAACTCGTGATTCTCAATACCACTTAACCAGCTAGCTGTACTTCTCTAGCTCTTGACATTATTTCGTAATAGAGGCGTTTATTACTTACGCCATTTCTTCATGTTGAAACTTAAAAAAATTTAAAACTCAGAAAATCGTTATAACTTCTTTCTTAAATTCTTTTAACACTCTATAAATGCTGAAGCAATTGCAAAATTCCCTCAAAAATATCCTATTGCTTCAATATAACAACATAACAAGTGGGAGGTACATGCATATAAACTGCTACTTTTCTATCCAGTGCTCAATGTGATCATAAGCTTTAGCAAAATATTGTTGAAAAAAAATGCCATTTTATTGTCTTCACTTTCACTCCATTCTGAGCAAAAATAAATAAAATTATCAGCAAAGGTTACTGACCATGCTGTACGTGTACATGTATACCTTTTTACACTTAGCTGCTACTAAATTCAAATATGCTTCCACCACCTATGGCATCGTGCATACTTCTAGTCTAGCAGCTTATTCTTCAATCTAACCTGTTGTTATCAGTTAAACTATTGAAATTAGCAAAATATAAACTAATCCGTTCAACTGTCACAACTGGACTTGCTACCCTGTAAATGTAAAAATGCACTATTAACTGCAGTACGTATATCAGTTTGCAACAAACAGTATTTTCTCACCTGATTTTCCCCTCTAACTTGTCCTATCGATAATCAACTATGTATACTCAACATAATATCGATCTGATAAATATGGCTCGTTCATTCTACATCACGTGATTAACTCATTTCACATCTGTAACACGAGATAGCGTTCACTGTGATTGTATATAGTATATACTCACACAGCAAAAAAGCCCGTGACGATAGTCTTACTTTACAACAGTGACATCTATTCACATAATGAACGTTTAATTTAACTGTGGAAAAATTAAACATTGAAAAAACCCTCTAAATAATTTCTTCAAATAAATACTAAATATTGTATTTATTAAGAATTCGGCTCCGTAACTGAAGCTTTTTTTTACTTTGCTAGATTTATCAATACGCTGTGGAATGTTTACAAAAGTATCGCTCACAATCTGCAATAGAATTGTGTTTTTCTTATAGCAAAGCCACATGTTTTAAAATGAACCCTGTTTTATTATAAATGTAATTTCTAGATAAAATAAACAGTGGGCACAGACCTTTTTTTAGATAATGGAAAAATGCACTTCTTGTGATTGGGGCCATTAACCTATAACGTTAGATAAAACGTACCATACATATAGAGTAAAATGGCCCACATCTTTCTCATAACAACTGCAATTAATTAAAATAAATGCTCTATTTAAATGCTCACAGCAGGAATTGGTAAAGCAATGAGGAAGTTGCACATTATCTGGGACAACTGCGCAAATGAATACTAGGGTGGAGCAATGAGTCTCAAATCATATTTATGTCTTTGTATAAAATTAATAAAAACCCTATAACCAGAGCGCTTTCGAAAGGCGGACCTTTCTTCTTCAGG